GGTTTTTGGTAGTACTAGTTGAGTCTACTTGCAGACACCAACCTAGGGACTAGCTGAGTCATATTTACCGCCCCGTTGAATAAAATTGTAAATTTCGGAATTGTTGAGATTTCAAACTATGGTTGAACATGATGACTTTTAAAAGGCATTTAAATGAAATCCTCTTTAAATTTGGCATTGCATGGCATTTGCATTTAATATCAAAAATTTTGCATAAATGTATATACTTTGTTAAGGATTCTCTACTGGGCTTTATGCTCACCCCTATGAGATTTTGGTGCAGGAAAAGATGTGGTGATCCCGCCGAGTTGAGGGCGTGGACATATTTTTATGAAGAGTAAATGACTCTATTTTTGTTGTGAATTATTTGCTAGCCAAGGGCTTTAAATGTATGGGTTCGTGAAACTATTTTTGTGTAACTGGGCTTAACTCTTGGAATATGTAAGCCCTTAAGGGCATTTTATTTATTTTGGGATTTGAAGTTCTACATGCTATAGATTCATATATTTCTATATCATTGAATGTATAAATTGCATGTGGGACCTTTGCACAAACTTTATTGATTAATGATGTAAAAGTTTGGATGTGGGTCGATGTACTTCATCTATGTTGGATTTTTTTTTTTGGGGCGTTACATTCCAACTCCAATTTCATTTCATAAGCTTTTTGCTTAATCGGTTTACTAATTTAGATAAGTTTGGAATAAACTTTCAGGCATAGTTAATTATCCTAAAAAACCGTTGAAATTGTTTGATAGCTCCTATCTCTTCAGGAAATTCCATGACTTTTTCAAAGATATGATCTTAAAATACAACTTTTTTGTTGTCATCAATTACTAATCTAAATTTTTTTTTTATTGAATTCTTTTTCCATTCAGTTTTCTTTTCAAGTAGTACTAATCCATGTTCTATGAATTCTTGAGCTATTTTTTTCAGATGATTTCGATGTTCTTCTCTAATTTTAGAAAAGACTAAAATATCATGTGCATATACTATACAATATTCTCCATGTTTACGAAAAATATTATCCATTCTTCTTTGAAATATAGGTAGAGCCTATTTTAAGCCAAATGATAAAACCAACCACTCATAGGCCCTGTTTGGTAGGGCTTATTTCAGTTTTTAGCTTAATTTAAGCTATTTTGATATGTTTAGTTTAGCTTAACAATACAGCTTATAGCTTTTTGTAAGTCAAAAATCAACTTATTCTTTGAGTGAGGGAGGAGAAGCTTAATTTATAAGTAAAAAATCAGCTTATGTTCACAGTTATAAGCTATAAGCTGTTAAACTATAAGCTATAATCACTTTCCCACAGCTCTACCAAACGGACCCATAATGTCCTTGTAGAATACTAAGGAATAGAGTTTTCTTCCATTTGAATTTGCCAATAGCCACTTTTTAAATCAAATTTTGAAAAAAAAAAAAATTGATTAATTGAATTTTATTTATCAAAGCATCTATGTTAGACAATTTATAACTGTCTTTTATGATTTTCTTGTTTAAAACTCTATAGTCTATCATCATACGAGTTTTTACTCTTAATTTTTCTGCATGGTTCATTACCATTAATGTAGGGCTAGAACGAGGATTTTTATTAGGTCATATTAACCCTTGTCTTAATAAATCAAGAATTTGTTCTTTGAATTCCTTAATCATTCCAATATTATGTCTAATGGATTTTATATTAATTACGTAGTTTGGATCCTCAAGCACTATTCTTACCCAAAGCTTGTCTTTTTCCTATAGTTTTAATGGGTTATCACTAAAATTATTTTCTAACATTTTCTTAATGCTATCTAAATTCAGAATATTTTTTCCTTATTTTCCCTGATAGTAATTTTTGATATTAGTGATCCATTGTTCATGTTCTTTTTCACTATCAGCTATAGTGTCATTGTCGTTGCTAATCTCATTTGCAAATAGTTGTTGCCTAGTTTTTTCTTTGTCATTCTGGTTGTCTATTGTTTTAAGCTTATCACGCTAGGCTGCGTTGAGAAGTTCAATAGGTGTCAATAAATTTGTTTCCATAATTTTAAAAGGATTAAAACCAAATTTATATTTTTGAGATGCATATTTGAGCAATGGAATTTCATGCATTTTAAGAGCAATATATGATTGATCTTGAAGAAAATGTCTATTTACTTCTTATTTCAAAAATACATTTCTAACTAAAAAATCACAATCTAAAATGGGAATTGAATTATTTGTTCCATGATAAATTCTTTTTGATTAAGAATAATAGGAATATGATAACTCACTGTTGGAAATCGGGCTTTTAGTGGCGTTTTAAAAACGCCGCTATATCTATAAAAAACGCCGCTAATTCATTTTGTGGCGTTTAGTACGAAACGTCGAAGCTGCGGCCATCGCTGTATCTTTGCGACGTTTAAAAAACGTCGTGATATTAGTATAGGAGGCGTTTTAAAAAACGCCTCCAAATGTCCCACTATACACTCGCTGACGTCACCAACGATATTTAGCGACGTTTTGAAACGCCGTCGTATCTGTTTAAAAAATATGACCGTTACTGTTGAGGGTTTAGGAGGCGTTTCTGGAAACGCCGTTATATCTTTTTTTTTTTTTTTTAGATTGTGCTAGTTTTATTTGATTAAATTAAAAAGAATACCTAATATAAATAAATACAAATAATATATTTATTTTTTAATTTTACACATAATAAATAAAATAAATGAATAAAAATAGTATATATTTTTTAATTTTACATATAATATATATAAAAAATTATATATATTAAACGTGTCCCCAGCGTGTCGTGTCCCGTATTTTTTTAAAATTTACGTATTTACGTGTCCGTGTCGTGTCCCGTGTCCGTGTCCGTGCTACATAGGTCACATGTTTTCCCAAAGACTCCTAACAAAAGCAACATTAAAGCTGAAAACTAAAATTTAAAGCCTTAATAAATAGAGAGTTTATGATGCAACAAAAAATAAAACTGACAGTGTTAATGGTTTTCCCATCCTGCTCGACTGTGCGGATTTTCTGCATTAGTGGACATAAAAATAATTACTACATTATATTAATGTCAAAATAATATGATACAAGCCAAGGGAAATAAAAGAGTTTGCTTACAAAGTCAACTCATAGTGCTAATGAAACTTTCCAGATATGAGTCATTCTGATTATAGAAATAATAAAAATGGTAAACAAAGTTAGCAGTAGTCTGGATACACGAAGTAGTTTTGAACAATAACACAATCACATGAACATAACATGAAGAAATGAAGCATGCTTCCCAATTATAAAGCCAAACTGTTTATAATTGGTGAAGTTTCACAACGGGCGATATATGCCAATTGCGATTCTGTTGGTTTCTCAACCATTAAATCAGGGGCTCAACTCCTTCCTTCTCTTGCAAGTTAAAGAAAAATGCATGTACCATGGAACATATTAGACTTGTGCTTAAGTCGGAATTTTAGTACAAAATGTTACTTGTGTAATCTTAATCCACATCACAACAACCTCCCACTCACACAAGCACCAGCAGATCTGTTGCAAAACTAACCTAACTACTTGAGCTTGACTAGTCTTTGGCTCGTTACATAAACAAGGCAAGCTTAAACACATTTTAAAATTAAGTTTTCAATCCAAACTTGAACAACCTACAACTCGCTTGATTCAGAGATATGCACTATAAAAAACCAAGCTACTCAATTCTGGCTTGTCATCAAAATGATATTTAGCTCATTTGACATCTGGTCAAAAGATAAACAAGCCAAGTTTAAACACGTTTTGAAACTAATTGTGCTTTCAAGCCAAACTTGAAATCTCGTTTACAACTCTATATATCTGAGTAAATGTCAGTATCCTGCAGGCCTTTAGTGAACAAAATCAAGCTAGAAATCTAAAATTATGCTTGGTAGCAGGTGAAAATCATATAGAGAAATAAAAAATTAGCTCAATCTTAAAAAGAAGACTTTCAAAGGAATCGTCAATAATACACATGTATGCCATGAGAATTGCTCATAGACAATGAAGTATAATTTGAGACTCAATTAAAGCTCAAGATTACATTAGGTCATAAATAGTATAATTTGCATTATTGGGCCAAAGTTTGTAAGATAATCAATTTGGACACTTTGAAAACTATAATTTTGTGAGTTTCTGATAAAATGTTTATGGTCATCTTTGTTCAATAGTTTGGAAGATAAGTGTCCACATAATTATGCTGCCATGGTTAATGGGTACTGTGATGCAGGCAATACAAGAGAGGCTTCTGAACTTTTTGTTCGGCTGTCTAAGGAAGGAGTTTTTGTGAAAAAGAGTTCATGCCTAAAACTTCTCAGTAACCTTTGTATGGAAGGTGAAAATGACATGGCACTTGCCTTATTTGAGAGAGTGTTGGTTTTGTATGATCCCCCTTGTAAAATAATGTACAACAAGCTTATAGCTGCTTTTTGTAGCTCTGGTGATATGAGAAAGGCCCAGCGGGTGTTTGATACAATGTTATGGACAGGGTTAACTCCTGATGTCATTACCTACACGATGATGATAAATGGTTATTGCAGGGTAAACTGTTTGCAGGAAGCATGTGATCTTTTTAAGCATGTTATCCGTCGAAATGCAGGATGCAACAATGGAGAACTGAAGGATATTTCCACTTTTTGGAATGAAATGAAAGAGAAGAAACTAAAACCTGATGTTACTTGTTAGACTGTATTGATTGACAATCATTGTAAATCAGACAACCTACAGGATGCTATTGTCCTTTTTGATGAAATGATTGATAGAAGTCTAGAACCAGATATTGTGACATACACAGCTCTCCTATGTGGCTATTGTAGTCAGGGAAACGTGGATAGGGCTGTAACCCTTGTTAATGAGATGTCATTTAAAGGAATTCAGCCAGATGCCCGTTTCATGTCAGTGTTGCACCGTGGTATATTAAAAGCCAAGAAGGTGAAGTTTCAGCATCAAAGGTGAGTGATAAATGATTATGACATTTATATGTGGTTATGGAGACTATCTCTAAGAGTGCACATGTTGCTGAGTGCACATTTTGGTAGCCATTACATAGCAAGAGAGATTTCAAGTACAACAATGAAAGCAAAGCCCTGAGCCCAAATTCAAAGCTTCAAATGCAAAGATGACTTCATAAATGGTCACCCCTTTAATTTTCCATCTCCAAAAATACCCAAATTTAGTCACTAGTCACAACAATAACAACCAAAACCCTAATTTCAGAACCAACAATGCCTTACAAATCAAATGAACATAAACCACGAACTAGTGATATTAGTACTTTTACCTTGTTAGTTCTTCTTCTTCTTCTTATTCTTCTTCTCTTTCTTTGAAAGGTGAACCTATATTTAATAAGAGCAAGTATTGTAATTAATAAGATATGTTATTTGTCAAAAAAGCTTTGATTAAATGATTGCTCACCTCTTGGGATGAAAATGCATGAGATTGTTGTTGATGTGACATTGGCCGAACAGTGGGATGACTACTAAGTGAATCCACAACCTATCATTCAATAAGAGACTTAAGTTGTATATTAGCTCTAGGCAATTTAAAGTAATAACTAGTAAAAATAATTAAAACACCTGCTGCCTATGTAATGAGTCTGATGGTGCAACAACTGGGTCAACGGGCACGCCTGCAGCTTGCAATTGAGATTCCAAAAACTGAATTCGTGACTGAAAATCTGTGCGTATAGCCTGAATTTGTTTCTCCATTACTTCATTCATCTTCGACTCAAACTGCATTTGATACCGTTGAAGTTGCTCTTGAACTTGTTCTTGAACTTGAGTTTGGAAGAGACGATTCTGCTCTTGTGACCGCCTATATCCACCTCCAAAAACATCAGTGGGTGACGGTCCCAATCCAAACGTCCGAACACGACCAGGTCGCTCTGGGCCCATAATTTGTGTGAAGATTTGCTCCTGTAATGCTGCAGGGTCAGTAGAAGATCCCTCCATGTGCTCTGCTAACTCATTCATTTGAGTCTGCAAGTTTGAATTCAATAATTAGCCTCCAATATAAATATAAATCATATTAAAAGTCCAAAGATAAAGTAGTATCACATACCATAACCTCATTAACTGAATCACTATTTGACGTCCCATCTTTCATGTATGCGGCCATCCACACCTGTGACCGACTAGCAGGAACCCCATTGTTCTTTTTGGTCTCCTATAAATGAAAGACAACCAAAATCTTAAGATAAATAAGAAAATTAAATAATTAAGCAATTAAATATGTGAACAAGTGTAAATAAAATAAACAACTAAGCAAATAACATCTGTTTTTGTAGAACTGGTATAAATTCATTATGGTGCAAATTGTTGACACCTTTTTAGCACATATAGACAGCTATAGATGACAAAGAATGAAAAGGATGAATGGAGAGAATAATTATACCTCCAGTCGAACTACTGAGAAAGGCTTTCGGCCTGTCCTATGATGTAATGTCTTCTTCTTCCGGATTTTTCTATTCTTCTTGCTTGATTTCTGTCCAATATGAAATTTATTTAAGATGTTATAAAAAATTATCATATATAAACATTGTTTCACATAAATAAAATTTTACCGATGCACTCTGAGTGCCCCAATAGTAGACCAAAGCCCGCCACTGATCCTCATGTACTCTATCTGGTCGATGAGCCAACCTTTCTGCATCATTCTTGAAGGGTTTGTATCCCATTGTTTTCACTCGACTTTTCCAATCTCTCCATTTCTTTCCAAATGAAGCCATTATTGTTCTCTTCATGGATTCATCTGCATCCGTATGAGCCTGCATTACAATTATAGACACTTGTAATATGCAATGTCAACTACACTTGTAATATGCATTTCATATGGAATACAATTGTAACTTATTTCATATTAAATATCCATATATACCTTTATCTCCCTCCATATGTTATCTTTGTTTTGTTTTGGAACATAATGCCAAGTCGTAAAAGTGAGTGGTGCAAGACTCCCATCTCGTGCCAAAACGCCCAAATGTGAAGCAAGGGATGTGTGTCCTTCAACCACTTGATTCAACTCATTTGGAACAACTTTTAAAATGCCATCTTCACTAGTACCCCATTGACCATGCACATATGTGGGACCCCTTGTCTGCTTTTGTGTGGCTTGACTTGAGCTAGGACCTACAAAACAATAGTAGTAAGCTTCA